TGCCTTTAACTTTTCAAAGTAGCTTTGTTGGTTTTATAATAATAATAGTAAGACGATGAAAATTTTTAGAAAATCCAAAAGAAATGAAAAAAATAATGATTACATAGATAAGCCCACCACTGAGGGAAAAAAACACATGAACAGCCCTCCAGATTTTTTTTTTTCTTAAGAGACAGAGTCTCACTGTGTTGCCCTCCGTAGGGTGCTGTGATGTCATAGCTCACAGCAACCTTCAGCTCTTGGGCTTAGGCAATTCTCTTGCCTCAGCCTCCCGAGGCACACTACAGGTGCCCACCACAATGCCCATGCTAGCCCTCCAAATTTTTTAATGTGTCCATGTATATTTTCAAGCAAAAATGTGATATTTTACGTATTTTAATAGGATGCCTTTTAAAATGTATTATCTATTGAACATCTTTCTATGTCAGTAAGTATGGAATAAGTATTTTATTAATAGCTGTATAACGTGTGTAATTTATTTCACTAGCCCCATATTTTAGACATACATATTGTTTTTAATTTATTTTTATTGTTGGGGGTTCATTGAGGGTACACAGAACCAGGTTACATTGATTGCTTTTGTTAGATAAGGACCCTCTTATATTTGGGTCCTGCCCCCCAAAATTGTTTTTAAATTTTTAATTAAACAATGTCATGCTGAACATTCATGTGTAGTTCTTTGTATTTATCTAATTATTTTCTTATTTTCCTAGAATTGGAAATGATAAGTTAAAAGTATTTGCTTACTTTTTATGGTTTTTGATAAGATAGTCAAATTATCCACTAGCAGATTATACCAATTTATACTCTAGCTGCTAATTTTTTTTTTAACAGAGTCTTTCTCTATCACTCTGTCATCTTGGCTAACAGCAACCTCAAATTCTTGGGCTCAAGCCATCCTCTTGCCTTAGCCTCCCAAGTGGCTGGGACTATAGGCCCAACACGGTGGCTGGCTTATCTTGCTAATGATCTTTAAAAGTATCATTTCTCTACTGCTACTATATACAGAGAGTATTAGTAATCTTTTGTCAATCTTACATAGAAATCTCATTTTAGGCTTGGCGCCTGTGGCTTAAGTGGCTAAGGTGCCAGCCACATACACCTAAGGTGGCGGGTTCGAATCCAGCCCGGGCCCACCGAAACAACAATGATGGCTGCAACCAAAAAATAGCGGGGCGCTGTGGCGGGCGCCCCCAGCTACTTGGGAGGCTGAGGCAGGAAACTCTCTTGAGCCCAGGAGTTGGAGGTTGCTGTGAGCTGTGATGCCACGGAACTCTACCCAGGGGGACAGCTTGAGGCTCTGTCTCAAAAAAAAAAAAATCTGATTTTAATTTGAATTCAGTTGCTTACTAATAAAATTAAAATCTTTTAAAAAATTTTTTTAGGCTGGGCATGGTGGCCACACCTATACTGCTAGACCTCTGGGAGGCCAAGGATAGTGGATTGCTTGAGCTCACAAGTTCAAGATCAGCCTGAGCAAGAGGGAGACCCTGTCTCTACTAAAAATAGAAAAACTGAGGCAAGAAGATCGCTTGAGCCCAAGAGTTGGAGATTGCTGTGAACTATGATGACTCCATAGGGCGACAGCTTGAGACTTTTTTTTTTGACCATTTGTATTTCTGTATTTCTTCCTTTCCCAAATTGCCTTTTCATATACATTGCCTACCTTATCATTGGAATATTTATTTTTTCTTATTAGTTTTAAGAGCCCATAATAAATCAGGATTACTAATCTTTGTCACAATGTTCTAAATTTCTCTGGCATAAATGTTCTAAATTTCTTCCTTTTATTTGTTTTTAACTGTGCTATGCAGAAGCTTTAGATTTTTATCAAATTTTCCCAAATAATTTTGAGCTCATCTAGCTAGCTGAACCATGTAAAGTTCTGTTTATAAATTCATATAAATAGGTATGGGTGAGGTGGCTCACATCTGTAATTCCAGCACTTTTGGAGGCTGAGGCAGGTGGATTGTCTGAGCTCATGAGTTCGAGACCAGCCTGAGCTAGAGTGAGACCCTGCTTCTGAAAGTAGCCGGGCATTGTGGAGGGCACCTGTAGTCCCAGCTATTTGAGAGGCTGAAGGGAATCACTTGAGCCCAGGAGTCTGAGGCTGCTGTGAGCTCTGATGCATCTACGGATGGTGACAAAGTGAGATTGTGTCTTAAAAAAAAAAAAAAATTCATACAAATATCCTAAATTTGATAACCAAACTGATTACAAAAGTTACCAAACCATGAAAATTTTCCAGGCAGCTAGTCAACCAAACCAATTTCCTTTCCTAATTTAACCAGAGAAATGTTCTGTATACATATTGTAAAACCCTAATCCATGTGGATTTGACATTTTAAAATCTAAAGCTATTTATATAGAACTGCATTATACAGAGTGAAAGTCAATGATGTACTTTGGGTTTCATCTGATGATTGACTTCCTACAGTAATATTTAGTAATTATAGCCTTTTCTAATCTACTGATTACCTATGTGGACTGGTCATTTCCTATTCAGTATAGTATGTTTGGGAGATTCCTCTTCTAATGCATTTTGAAAGAAGATACAGGCTACTTTCTCCTATATAGATGCTCCTTAACTTACCCTGGGGTTAAATGCATCATAAGTTGAAAATATTGTAATTTGAAAATGCATTTAATACCCTAGTGGGCCCATCATCAAGTTGAAAAATTGTAACTTAAACCATCGTAAATTGGGACCCTCTGAATATGCTGGAAAGCCTACATACTGTGCTGGCTTTTCCAACCTTGCAGCTAGGAGGGTGTGAGCATGTCACTGAGACTGAGCCATCAGATATTTCTTGCCCATCTTCCCCACTTGAATTTTGTATTGAGATCAAGGAAACAAATACTGCCAAGAATCTTGTATTGCAGAAGCAGACAGGGCAGCACTGGTATGCCTGCCATTACCAGCAATGGTAATGTCTGGTGACAGGAGTTTGGGCAGTGCAAGCTATGGCAGGGAGGACTTCGCCAGACCAATGTTCCAAGGTCATTTTGACTGAGGTTTTTGAGGGATAGTTTTTAAACCTGGTTTTTGAAACCTGGCAAGTCTGTGCTTTCCTAATATCCTTTTAATAAGTTTATTTTTCGCTTATACAGAGTATTTTTGCTGAGTGTTTCTCTTCTGTGCATTTAAGAATTCTAACTGATAACAGGATCTGGGTTAAATAATACATTATTCCTCTACCAATTTGGAGTTTACACGCAAGTTATTCCTCCTCCCCTCACCATTCACATAGTTGGTCTGGTTCTGGACTTCGTATTCACCTTTCACTACTCACATTACTCTGCTTTATTCAAAAGTTTGTTAGCATTTATTCCTTCAAATGAAGTTTAGAATCATTTGATGAAGTTCCTAAAAAAAAATCCCTTCATGATTTTGATTAGAATTTCATTAAAGGGCCAAGTGCAGTGGCTCACTCCTGTAACCCTGGCACTCTGGGAGGCTGAGTGGAGCCTCAGCTCATAGGTTCGAGACCAGCCTGAGCAAGAGCAAGACCCCCATCTCTAAAAATAGCCAGCACCTGTAGTCCCAGCTACTTGGGAGGCTGAGGCGAGAGAATCGCTTGAGCTCAAGAGTTTGAAGTTGCTGTGAGCTGTGATACCAGGGCATTCTACTGAGGGTGACAAAATAAGACTGTCTACCCCCCCAAAAAAGAATTGCATTAAATTTATAGTTTAACTTAAAGAGACGAACACCATCAATGTTGTCTTCTTATGCAATGAGACAGTTTGACTTGTGTATCAGGTTCCATCAAAGAAACACAAGTACTTTGTGTGTTAAAGATTAAGGGATTTATTACAGAGGTTAAACCTTATGGAACTAAGGAGCTGGTGGGGACTCTGTGCTGGCTGTTGCCTGAATCTCTTGTTGAGCCTAAAGTTGCTGCAGATCAGCGGGACTGGCAGTCAGGCAGGGATGCTGGATATGGATGAGAGCAAGGACAAACTGAAACCTTTGGGGACAAAATGGAACCTGCATTTGTCTCTCGCCAACTCCAGTTTTGATGCTATGGGTGACCTGCAGAAGTGGCTGACAGTCGTGACTTTGAAACTGCACATGCAGACCTAGAATTTGAAGAAGTTGAAAGAAAGTCTGATGAGCGCTGAAGGAGAAGCAAATCCAGCTATTCCCTGTGCTAACAAGGTGAGCTAACAGATCGTCAGCAACATGTGCAAGCTGCACAGTATGCCCAGCACTGACCTTCAGAGTGTAAAAATAATGACTGCCGCTGCTTTTCTGACTTCTAAATCTCATGCAAAGTGTGCCCTGTAGCCAACACTACCCAGAACTATAAAGAGAAGGGAATTCTGGGAAATTAAGTCCAACAGCTGAATTGACATAGTATACAACCATCAGAGTTCTAGTTAATCTTTTTTGTCCTTTAATAAAATTATTTATAGTTTTCTTCCAACCATTTCCTGTTTAGTCTATTCCTTGCTTTTTTTGAGTGGTTGCTGTTGTGAATGCTCATTTTCCTTTATGATTATTGCTGATATGTTAAAAGTTTATATTAGTACTTATATTGAATTAACTACATTTTTCAGTTTAAATCCCAACAGTTTTCTAGGATATGCAGTCATGTAACCTGCAAACTAATGCGATTATCTTTTTTTCTTGGTAATGTTTTTCTTGGTAATGTAATGATGTTTTCTTCCCTTTCTCCCACTCTCTTTCTTTTTTCATTACATTCGTTAAAACTGCCAGAACAATGTTATAATAGATACACTGTTTCTGACTTTTTTTGCAGTTTTTGGCCAGGGCTGGGTTTGAACCCACCACCTCCAGCATATGGGGCCGGCGCCCTCTCCTTTGAGCCACAGACGCTGCCCCTGTTTCTAACGTTTAAGGTAATGTTTCTGGATTGTCATCATTTTAGTTTCTGAACCAAATGGTTTCATCATTTTTGGTAAATTATTGGCTCTCAATAATTGGGAATACAGAATTTCCTGGCATGCATAATTGCTAAAAATGCTGATTCTCAGACATGGATGTTACATTTTACTACATTTTTAAAAAGTATTTAACATACCTGGCATATAACAGATATAATGTACTATTAAAATTTGTCATTGATTTATTCGAAAAATATTTAGCACTGGGCTGCGCCTGTACCTCAAGGAGTAGGGCACTGGCCCCATATACCAGGGGTGGTGGGTTCAAACCCAGCCCAGGCCAAAACTGCAAAAAAAAAAAAAAAGAAAGAAAGAAAAAAGAAAGAAAAAAATTATTTAGCATAAGGCAGCGCCTATGGCTCAAAGGAGTAGGGCACCAGCTCTATATACTGGAGGTGGCAGGTTCAAAACCGGCCCTGGCCTTTTATTTTCTTTCCTGAAATGTATAAAAGCATAAACACTTGAAAGATAGGAAGTCTAAATCTAAAGGTATTATTTGTGTAATAATTTAAGCTTCATTTCTTTGAGCTAACCAGCCCACTGTATCTTTCTTTTTTAACCTGTTAAAAAGTGATAAATTACATTGCATTGTGGTAGGAGAATTTAGCCGAAATATTTCTAGATTTTATCCAAGTTTTTTTTTTGTGGCTAAGTAAATGTGTGGTTAGCACATTCATGGTCCATGGATATTTGAAGAAAAATGTATATTCTTTGTAGCATACAAAGTTCTATAACTGAGTATGAAATCAGACTTGTAATTGTATTATTCAAATTATCTGTACCTTTCTGACTACTTGATTTAATTTGCCTATTTTACTGTTATGCTGTTTGACATGGAGGTATCCTCTTACTTTATGTAACTTTACTGTGGTATAAATATTTTATCCATTTTAGTTGTACTTATTTTTACCTTGAATTCTGTGTTTGATGTTAATTATCATTGCTGCTTTGTTTGTATTTTCTAAACATATATTTTCTCATATTTTTATTTTCTATATTAAGATTTTCTTCTTTGAGGTTTTGTCTGTTTGTTTGTTTTTTGAGACAGAGTCTCACTCTGTTGCCCAGGATAGAATGCCATGGTGTCACTGTAGCTCACAGCAGCCTCACACACTTGGGTTCAAGTGATCCTCTTGCCTCAGCCTCCCAAGTAGCTAGGACTACAGGCATGTGCCTCCATGCCCAGCTAGACTATTTTTTTTCCTACTTTTAATAGAAACAGGGTTTTCCTCTTGCTCCAGCTGGTCTCAAGCTCCTGAGCTCAAGCAGTCCACCCACTTCAGCCTCCCAAAGTGCTAGGATTACAGGTATGAGCCAGCGTACCTGGCCCTTTTGTTTATGAGCAGTAATACTGGATGTTTCCTTTTGTCACAACCTAATTAGCGCTTTATCTCTTTATAGAGAAACTTAACACATTCACATGGACTGTGGTATTTAATATCATTGGTCACTATTGCTTTTTTGGGAGAGTGAGGGGGAAATAAGGTTTTTTGTTTTTTTTTTTTTAATTGAGACAGAGTCTCAGTTTGTTGCCCTCTGAAAAATGCCATGGCATCATAGCTCACAGCAACCTCAGACTCTTGAGCTCAAGAGATTCTCCTGCCTCAGCCTCCCTAGTAGCTGGGACTGTAGGCACCCATCACAACGCTCAGCTACATTTATGTTTGTTTGTTTGTTTGTTTAGCAGGCCTGGACTGGGTTCCAACCCACCAACCCTAGTTCCTGTGGCTGGCGCTCTAACCACTGTGCTACAGGCGCCCCAGAAATAAGGTTTTCTCCATTTCATTTTCTTTCTGTCTTGCTCTATTAAGTTTCCTTTATTTGTCCCCTGCTCCCTCACCAAAATTTAGAAGTCCTACTCTTCAATTTTCCAGAAACCATACATAAGTATATAAATTCTTAAAATTCATGATTGTCATACAGGAACCATAATTTAGCTATGGTTAGAATCCTAGAGTTATGATTGCTTTCCCTCAGAGAAGTTGTAATTGTTACCTCATAATATTCTAGCATTTGGGTTTGGTGATAATCACTTTGATTTTTATTTTTTGCAGATAACTTTTTTATTTTTTTATTTTATTATTTTATTTTATTTTTTTTTAGATGGACCCTCAAGCTATCCCCCTGGGTAGAGTGCCATGGCATCACAGCTCACAGCAACCTCCAACTCCTGGGCTCAAGCGAGTCTCCTGCCTCCACCTCCCAAGTAGCTGGGACCACAGGCGCCCGCCACAATGCCTGGTTATTTTTTGGTTGCAGCCGTCATTGTTGTTTGGCGGGTCCGGGCTGGATTCGAACCTGCCACCTTTAGGTGTATGTGGCTGGCGCCTTAGCCGCTTGAGCCACAGGCGCCGAGCCCAGATAACTTTTTTAAAGAGTTGGAAACTCTAAAGCTTTCTTTTCTTTTTTGGAATTTGTATTTTTCTTTCAATGCCCAATAGCTCATCCTTTATTTTCCCCCTAAACTTTGGAAAAGCTCTTTGAAAGTGTTCTTATTTACTAATTTTGTTTTTCGAAGCATTGATTGTATTGTGCATTGTTTCCATAGATTTTTAGTTAGGCAATTAAGTTAGTCATCTCCATGATCCCTTATTTCCAGGTTTCTCCTTTTTCATGAAAGCCTAATACTTTTATCAACAAAGTGTATTGCCTAACTTTTTAACATCTTTGTTGGAGTAAAATTTGACATCTAATTAACTGTATCTATTTAAAAGATACACTTTGATGTGTTTTGTCACATGTGAAGCTATGACCCATGAAACTATCATCACAATCAAGATTATCAAGAAGGGGCTCAGTGCCTGTAGCTGAGTGGCTAGGGTGCCAACCACATACACTGGGGCTGGCGAGTTCGAATCCGGCCAGGGCCTGCTAAACAATGACTACTGCAACAAAAAAATAGCCAGGCACTGTGGTGGACGCCTGTAGTCCCAGCTACTTGGGAGGCTGAGGCAGAAGAATCACTTGAGCCCAAGAGTTTGAGATTACTGTGAGTTATGATGCCTCAGTACTCTACCGAGGGCGACATGGTGAGACTCTGTCTCAAAAAAAAATGATTATCAAGAAGGGTTAAAAGAAACATAAGGAATTCTTAATATATCCTACCTCTACTCTCCCCAGGAAACCATGGATCTATTTTCTGTCTCTCTAATTCATATTTTCTAGAATTTTATATAAGTGGAATCATACTCTGCACTCTTTTTAAAGACACATTCCTCGGCACCGAGCCGACCTAGTAAAAAATTTTGAAAGTCAGTCATGTTTTTGTGTTATCACTTGTTTCTTTTTATTCCACAAATTTGTTTATTCACATGTGTTAAACATTTGGAACTAATACCGATGAAGTTGCAAGAACATTCGCATGTGAGACTTCGTTTGTCTTGGGAAAGAGTAGTGGAATGACTGGGTTTAATGGTAGGAGTCTGTTTAACTTTTTGAGAAATGGGAAAGCTGTTTTTCTAAAGTGGTCATACTATTCTTTTATTCCCACCAGCAACATACAAGAGTTCTCATTGCTCCTCTTTGCCAACATTTGGGATTGTTAGTCTTCAGTTTTAGCTGTTTTAGTAGGTGTGTTTTGTGTCTTGTTTTAATTTGCATTTCCCTAAACATTAACGATGAGGAGTATATTTTGTGTTCTTTTTAGCATATTATCTTTGGCAAAGTACCTTTTCAAATCTTTTGCTGATTTTGTCTTGGTTCGTTTTTCTATTACTGTGTTTGAGAATTTGTTTATATGTTCTGGATACAAGTCTTTTATCAGATATGAGATTTCCATATATTTTCTCCTAACCTGTGGCTTGTTTTTTTCATTCTGGTTTTTTTCATTCTATTAACATTGTCTTTCAAAGAGCAGAAGTTTTTAAAATTTTGATGAAGTTCAAAGTTTATCGATTTTTATTTATTTATTTATTTATTTATTTATTTTAGAGACAGAGTCTCACTCTGTTGCCCTTGGTAGAGTGCTGTGGCATCACAGCTCACAGCAACCTCCAACTCCTGGGCTTAGGCGATTCTCTTACCTCAGCCTCCTGAGTAGCTAGGACTACAGGTGCCCACCACAATGCCCAGCTATTTTTTGTTGTTGTTGCAGTTTGGCCGGGGCTGGGTTTGAACTTGCCACCCTCGGTATATGGGGTCAGTGCCCTACTCACTGAGCCACAGGCGCCACCCAATTTATTATTTTTTAATGGATCAAGGTTTTGATTTTTTTATCTAAGAACTCTTTGCATAACCTGGAATACAAAAGTATTTTATGTTTTCTTCCAGAAATATTATAATTTACGTTTTATATTTAGGTTTGTGATCTATTTGAGGTTTATTATTTTTGCTGTGGATATCCCGTTATTCTAGCACAATTTAATATTCTTTCTCCATTGATTTGTGTTTGCAGCTTTGTCAAAAATCAGTTGACCACATATGTGTGTGTCTATTTCTGATCCCACTCTCTATTCTGTTTTGTTGATCTATTTGTCCATACCAATACTACACACTGTCTTGACTACTGTATCTGTATAATGAGATTTGAAATCAGGTGGCGTTAAGTCCTCCTCCTTAGTTCTTTTTCAAAGTTGTTTTCCTATTTTATACACACATAACATTTTCCCCCTTTTCCATACATTTTACAGTCAGTATAAGCTCCTACATATTCCATATATATTCTATATCCTTTGGATTTGTATTCAATTTTAAAATATATGTAATGAGCTCTGGACAGTTTTTATTGCAGGATGAAAGGAGTCATTCTCAATCATTTAGTTATTCTTTAGTGTCAGAATTAAAACATTAAAACAAAAAGTTTCAAGTATCACACGATCTTGATAACTTTAACTAGGTAAATAATTTCAGTATTCTGAGCCAGTTAAGAACTTAGCATAGAAGTATGACTGCCTTTTAATATTAGTTAAGGTTCTTTGGTTAGAGGCAACAGAAGTGAAAAGAGGATTTATAAGGAAATTCAGGGGTGGTTGATAGAAGTGAAGAGTTAGCTTTAGGATCTAAGGCAGCTCTGAGTATTTCAGGGACTGGCCCTAAGGACTTAATGAGGAACTTTCTTCACCATCTCACTAAGGAGCTGGCCCAGCCTGGGTAACCCTCATCACTAGACTAATCAGTATTACTAGGGAGAGAAGAAACTCTAATTGATCAGCACTGGAATTTAGGTATAGTTATAAGCAATTTTCCCAAAGGAAGGGGAAAATGCCAGAAGGATGGAAAATAGTTGTTGAACAGACTGACACATTGGATGTTCACCACCATGTAGTACATAAAGCTGGGAGAGAACTATTTGATGACCTCAAAGCAATAGATCACAGTCAGTGGGCTTTCTGAAATTCTCCTGTATCTCCTTGTACTACCATATAAATTATTATTCCTACAAAGCTAATCCTTTATCTTTGGGCTGTATGGCATTTTATATATCACATGTAAGAGATGCCAGTTCATACAACTTGGTTTTATATTTCAGAAATTATTGCAGATATTATTTTGTTTAAATATGATATGGTATTAATAATCATCATTGATGTTTTCCTCTGCTTTCTATCGTAGGGTATTGGGAACGTAAACAAGAATCAACTATTTATTCCTGATGGCTTCTGGTATTTACTGAGATATGGCATCCGAGACGGAGAAGACCCATGCTTTACTCCAGTCTTGTAGCACTGAATCCCTTATTTCCAGCTTTGGTCTGGGGATATTTTGCCTCGTAGCTGATAGACTTCTTCAGTTTTCCCCAGTTCAGCAGAATGACTGGCTTCGTGCCTTCTCAGATAATGCCATACATTGTGTGATTGGCATGTGGTCTTGGGCAATAGTCACTGGAATCAAGAAGAAGACTGACTTGGGAGAAATCATTTTAGCTGGATTTTTAGCCTCTGTTATTGATGTAGACCACTTTTTTCTAGCTGGATCTCTATCTCTGAAGGTAAGAAGCAGATTTCTTTAATTTTTTTGGTTTTTGCTTTAATTCTGTGGCACCATTATACTGATCTTTATAGAGCCAGGTAGGATTAGTCTTAAAATAAGAAAGCCCGCTCGTTCAACATTTTTTGTCACTTGGTACTTCCCTAGAGACATGTTGCTAAACAAATTACTTGTCATGACAAAGCACTATGGAGGCTCAGAGAGCAAGGACCCGCTAACTGTACCTGAGGAGTTCACTGCAAGCCCACAGAGCATGCATTACAAATTGGTTCACATTTTTTTTTTGTAGAGACAGAGTCTCACTTTATCGTCCTTGGTAGAGTGCCGCCGTGGATCACATAGCTCACAGCAATCTCCAACTCCTGGGCTTAGGCGATTCTCTTGCTTCAGCCTCCCGAGTAGCTGGGACTACAGGTGCCCACCATAATGCCCCACTAATTTTTTTTATTGTTGTTGCAGTTTTGGCCAGGGTCGGGTTTGAGCCCATCACCCTTGGTGAATGGGGCTGGCACCCTACCCACAGAGCCACAGGCGCCGCCCCACAAATTCATTCACATTTCACATTAGCAGGGATTGTTCTGGGGTTGCCCTAGCTCTTTTTGTATCAGTGTTCTTTCTTCAGGACCACACGTAACATTTTCCCCCTTTTTCCATACATTTTATAGTTAGTATACAGCTTCTACATATTCCATAAAAAATGAATAGCTGGCTCGGCGCCTGTGGCTCAAGTGGCTAAGGCACCAGCCACATACACCTAAGGTGGCGAGTTGTAATCCAGCCCAGGCCAGCCAAAACAACAATGACGGCTGCAACCAAAAAATAGCCAGGCATTGTGGTAGGTGCCTGTAGTCCCAGCTACTTGGGAGGCTGAGGCAGGAAACTCGCTTCAGCCCAGGAGTTGGAGGTTGCTGTGAGCTGTGATGCCACAGCACTCTACCCAGGGGGATAGCTTGAGGCTCTGTCTCAAAAACAAAAAAACAAAAATACAAAAAAACAAAACAAAAAAATGAATAGCTTCAAGATGATTCCCAGTCCTAGGGAATGACTTGAATGGATCATTCCTTAAGTCCCTCTTGGGGCCAAAGGCATGTATCTCAGTAAACAGGCTAGAACACAGCCTCTGGTAGAGAAATTGAGGAATTTCATGAAGGCATTCAAAAGTGATTTGCCTCACAAGTGACCTAAAGTGTGTCAGACATTATTTTCTATTAATAACTGTCAAAAGATTTGCCTGCCTTTTGCATGTTTATGATCTATAAATTTTTTTAGAAAAAAAAATGCGATCTGACAATTAAGTTCGCAAACTTGCTACCGTACACTTACTTTGGCAGCACTGTACAAACAAACGGGCAAGGTTTCATAACCTTGGTATATCAGTGTCTCGCAGCTGTGTTTGTGTCAGTGTGCGTGTTGTATTGCTGAGTGGCATTCATAGTTCTGTGATTTTGCGTGCTGTCACAGGAATGTTGGAATTTGAATTAGAGCAATGAACAAGCATTAAATTTCTTGTTATACCTGCAAGAGTGGAACTGAAATCAGGGACATGTTAGTCTAG